AGAAATAGAAGAAAACAACAGAATAGGGAGGACCAGAGATCTCTTCAAGAAAATTGGAGATATGAAGGGAACGTTTCATGCAAAGATGGGCATGATAAAGGACCAAAATGGCAGAGACCTAACAGAGGCAGAAGAGATTAAGAAGAGATGGCAAAACTACACAGAAGAACTATACAAGAATGAGCTTAACATCCCAGATAACCACAATGAGATGGTCATTGACCTCGAACCAGACATCCTAGAATGTGAAGTGAAATGGGCCTTAGAAAATCTGAGCAACAACAAAGCTAGTGGAGGTGACAGTATTCCAGCTGAGCTATTCAAAATCTTAAAAGACGATGCAGTAAAAGTGCTACACTCAATTTGCCAGCAAATTTGGAAAACTCAACAGTGGCCACAGGATTGGAAAAGGTCAGTTTACATTCCAATTCCAAAGAAAGGCAATGCCAAAGAATGTTCAAACTATCGCACCATTGCACTCATTTCACATGCTAGTAAAGTTATGCTTAAAATCCTACAAGCTAGACTCCAGCAGTATGTGGATCGAGAACTACCAGAAGTACAGGCAGGATTTCGAAGAGGCAGAGGAACTAGAGATCAAATTGCCAACATACGCTGGATCATGGAGAAAGCTAGGGAGTTCCAGAAAAACATCTACTTCTGCTTCATTGACTACGCAAAAGCCTTTGATTGTGTGGATCACAACAAATTGTGGCAAGTTCTTAAAGAGATGGGAGTACCAGACCATCTCATTTGTCTCTTGAGAAACCTATATGCGGGTCAAGAAGCAACAGTGAGAACTGGACACGGAACCACTGATTGGTTCAAAATTGGAAAAGGAGTCCGGCAAGGCTGTATACTGTCGCCCTGCCTATTTAACTTATATGCAGAGCACATCATGAGAAAGGCAGGGCTAGATGAATCAAAAGTTGGAATTAAGATTGCCGGGAGAAATATCAACAACCTAAGATATGCAGATGATACCACTCTAATGGCAGAAAGTGAAGAGGAACTAAAGAGCCTCTTGATGCGGGTGAAGAAGGAGAGTGCAAAAGTTGGCTTGAAACTCAACATTAAGAAAACCAAAATCATGGCATCCGGCCCTCTCAATTCCTGGCAAATAGATGGGGAAGAAATGGAGGTAGTGACAGATTTTATTTTCTGGGCTCAAAGATCACCTCAGATGGGGACTGCAGCCAAGAAATTAAAAGACGCTTGCTCCTGGGGAGGAAAGCTATGGCAAATCTAGACAGCATACTAAAAAGCAGAGACATCACCCTGCCAACAAAAGTGCGTATAGTCCAGGCCATGGTTTTCCCAGTTGCAATGTATGGCTGTGAAAGTTGGACCATAAGAAAGGCTGAGCGTAAAAGAATTGAGGCCTTTGAACTATGGTGCTGGAGAAGACTCCTGCGAGTCCCTTGGACTGCAAGGCGTTCAAACCGGTCAGTCCTAGAAGAGATCAACCCCGACTGCTCTTTAGAAGGCCAGATCCTGAAGTTGAAACTCAAATACTTTGGCCACCTAATGAGAAGGAAGGACTCACTGGAGAAGGGCCTAATGCTGGGAAAGATTGAGGGCAATAGAAGAAGGGGACGACAGAGAATGAGATGGCTGGATGGAGTCACTGAAGCAGTAGGTGTGAACTTAAATGGACTCCAGAAGATGGTAGAGGACAGGAAGACCTGGAGGAACGTTGTCCATGGGGTCGCGATGGGTTGGACACGACTTCGCAATTAACAACAACAACATCAGATAAAAAGAACTTTGTTACATATAATATTGCAAAAAATTATGTGATAGTAAGGAACCATTAGACTGTTAGCTGCTCACAATTTAATGTATATTTTGGATGGCTTGAGCGGTTTAAACTGTTTTTGTGTACCTCTGTGTATGTACCCAGCTTCATCATGCTATTTAATAGGTGACTTACTATTTATATATTATTTGCTTAAAATTTTATCAAATTGGCCATTGGGTTTAATGAATTATGTGTACATTTAGGTTCAGAGTTCGTCAAAACAAATATTGTGCTGTTGTTTGTCCAGCCACTTATAAAAATGAATGAAATGTTATGCATTGCATTAAAAGGTTCTAGAAATCTGATTTGTTACATACTTTTACCTTAAGTGATATTAGATAAAATGTCAGGATGATCCTTACCTGTGTGAGGTGAGCTTTACATTCTGTGCTTTGTATTCACAAACTAATTGTTGATTGCATTAATCATGGCTTTGAAAAGCATTTCCTTGTAATTTTTTTTCTGTGGAACCTAGAGATAATTTTTAAAAATAAAGAAAGTGTGTGGGTGAGTATTTTCCTTTGCAAAATACCCTCTCTCTTGAGCACTTAGATATTGTATGAATTTGCTTATAGGCACATGTTATAGACACATGTCACAGTCAGAAAATAGGATTCCCTGCAAACTCGCTAATATTTAGAAGATGCAAAAAGTTTCAAATTAAGACATTTCTGCTCAAAAGACTCCATTTTGAATCTGAAGCACTGTTTCAACCTCACAACAGATAGTTTGAAGGGTTGAAAAGTCTATTCAAAAGGGTTGAAAAGTCTATTTCAAAATAGCTTCCTTAAACTCAAAATGTTTTGCCCATGCCTCCTAATATCCATGGGCATTATACTAAGGTGGCCAACTTTTTTACAACAAAAAGGAGGACACGAATAAATTGAAGAAAAAAATATTGTAAATAAAAGAAACATTGTATTTATTGCAACAATAATACAGAATACACTATAATATGATAAATGTATAATAAAAACCATTTGTAACAATAACATTTTATATTGTAATTATGCTTACATGCCTATTAATTATTTAAATGAGTACTTTTCCATTGAATGAATGTTTTTTGTCAATGTATCATCTTCTAACAATATATTGGAAATATCTGAACAAGAAATATCCTTCATATTGAATTCTACGGCAAGTGCTGCTGCTAGAGTATCAACATTCAATCTCGATTTCTTACTTGTCCAAAAATCTACACGGCTGGATTGCGCGGGGGTGGGCGGTGGAGGCAGGTGCTGTGAGCCAGACGCTCCAGGACGGCCATGTAGGTGCCCAGGGTGAGGTGGTGGCAGCGCAGGTCAGCACTGTGTAGACCACCAGCTGGCGCAGCCCATGGAAGGTCAACTGCCCGCTGCACCCCCGCCCATAGCTGCCCCACCAGCACCGCTGCCCTGTCATAGAGAGCCGGCCCCGCGGCTCGCAAAGCACCAACCGAGCCAGCTCCGGCCTTGCAGCTGTCCCCCAGCACCACCGCCCACCCTGCGCATCCCCGTAGAGCCAGCCCCGCAGCTCACAAAGGCAAAACACCAGCTGCGCCGGCTCCAGCCCTGCAGCCACCCCCCCAGCCACCCCCTAGCATCACTGCCCACCCTGCACATCCCCATAGAGACGGCTACCCAGCTTGCAAAGGCAAAGCACCAGCCGCGCTGTCTCCGGCCCTGCAGCCCCCCCCAGCCGTCCCCCAGCACCACCGCTCACCCTGCACATCCCTGTAGAGCCGGCCCCGCGGCTTGCAAAGGTAAAGTACCAGCCATGCTGGCTCTGGCCCTGCAGCCACCCCCCAGCCGCCCCCCAGCACCACTGCCCACCCTGCGCATCCCCGTAGAGCTGGCCCTGCGGCTCGCAAAGCACCAGCTGCACTGGCTCTGGCCCTGCAGCCCCCCCCCAGCCGCCGCCCAGCACCACCGCCTACCCTGCGCATCCCTGTGTAGAACCGAACAGGGAAGATCAAGAGAAACTTACCACTCCAGTCTCCTCCAGCTATCTGCAGAACTAAGTAGGAGATGGTGTAATTGGTTAGCAGTGAGGGGTTTAAAGTTCCTGCAACTTGCATGTGCAAAGTTTGCCGCCCGGGTGTTTTGGCGTGCTCAGCAGCAATTCCTATTGGCTTTCGAAAGCCAATAGGGGGAGTAGCACAGCTCAGGCAAAAGTTGAAAAAAACCATCAAAAAAAGGTCCCGGAACGCCTTCTGAGCGTTCTGTGAGGGAAAAAAAGCCCTGCAGATAAGTGTTCAAATATAGAAAAAGAGGACATTTAGGAGGACATTTTCGAGGAAGGACAGAACTCACAAAAGGAGGACTGTCCTCCCAAAAGGAGGACGGTATATGGAAAAGGAGGACATTTAGGAGGACACTTTTTGAGGGAGGACAGAACTCAAAAAAGGAGGACTGTCCTCCCAAAAGGAGGACGGTTGGTCACCTTAATTATACTGGAAATTTTGAGAAACCCTTTATGCCTGTGGCCTGAACTCCTATCCCCTTTTAAAGTTGTGTGAAGGTTTATAACAGGGATCTTCAAACTCGGCCCTTTTATGACTCATGGACGTCAACTCCCAGAATTCCTCAGCAAGGCACACTGTTAATCACCTTAATAACAATGAGAGAATATTTGAAATAAAGATGATGTTTCGCAGGTATGTTTCATAATGTATTAATACATACATGAGGATTAAAATGCCAAAGGCAAAAAGAAATGAGTTCTGCCACATATTGTTTGCTTTGCCATATTTAGAAGAAAGTAATGCATTTTATTGGCAAACTGATTTCTAGATAATAGAGTTTGTGAGACAGTGATAGCAGTCATGGAATCTATGTTGTATAATAGAGGGCTTGGTTTCATTTATATATTTTAAAAAGCAACTGAGTTGCCTTTAAATATAGGTGTTGTATTCATTGTGATGAGAAAAACATTGCATTTGAAACAGAAGCTTAGTAGAGTTACCTGTCAAGTGTTTTTAGCACATATATGAACACACATAAAAAAAATAGTTACTATCAGTTTTGTACTCCACAAATGGTACTTTTAACTAGGTGGTTAGCACAGAGATATAGTGGAAAATAATGTGTGTGTGTTTGTGTGTGTGTGTTTGTCTCTGTGTATGTTCGTGTGTAATTTTTCTGAGGAGTTGAGAAGCATATACTGTAGATTTGATAAATATTTTTTTTCTATTGTTTCAGTGATCTACTGTCTTCAGATTATCTTGAAAGGCATACTGACCACAATGGGAAGACGATAGAAATTAAAGTAAGATGCTGACACTTATTTTTGCTATATTATGTGGATGCATGCGATTCAATTGTCATGATGTACTGCAAGTGCTGTTGTTAGACTCTGATTCTAGGAAACTGAAGTTGCTTTTAAATGTGCAAACCTTGTAATATTCCAGAGAGGTACAATATGTGTCTGTGTTTTGTAATTCTGTTGAAGGATTACCTCTCATAATAAAACTTGATATCTGGATGTTGCTGATTACAATTCCACCATGAATGAACTTTTGATAATAGTTGTAATATAAACTAGCTCATGTTAATGCTTTCAGTACATGCTTACTCCACAGCATTGGCATGGAGAAATTTGAATGGAATGGGGAATTCTGAGTGCAGCTGGCTGCACATCATTATTTATATTAAGAACATAAATAATTAGGGTATAGAATCTTGCTGTAATTTATCACAGAGAAATAAAAATATTTAAACATATTTATTCAGTATTTCTTTGCAGAATTGCATTTGTATAAATCTATCTGGAAATTTGAATAATTATATATATATTGAATAAATGTAGAATTTTCAAAAGTTCATGGTTTTGTTAATTTTTATGGCAAAGTAATTTTCTATACCTTTACACTCAACTGATCCAAGAAAAAGGTACATTTCTGATGTTCCACATCAGTTTATTTGCCTTAATGTATAATACACAAACAGTTCACTTTGTTGTAAAAAATTATTAGGTGACATTTCCAGTTATTTAAACAGAAGGATTAAATGTAGATTGCAATCAAAGAGGATGAGATGTGTTTCTTTCCTGCCAACATAATTTAAACAAGTTATAATAGATATATATGAATTATCTTCATGGTCATTTTTTTAAATTGCTGTGATAAATTTAAAAGGAGTTCTATGCTTCATCGAAGATCACCATGTTCAAATCCAAAATCTTTTTCTTATAAAAAAAAACTGTAATAGATCTCATTAAAATAAATATAGGTTAAAGAACCTGTTCATTTCAAAGTGTAAACACTAAAGATGTTGGTATTAAAAAAGAATGGGGATTTAAATTTCTATTTATTGGATATTTAGCATCCAATATCTAGAATCCAATCCAGTTAGAGTCTCATTTTATTCTAATAAGAATAGTGTTTTTCTATAAAGTAAAGCCACTGAAACTATTTTTGACAAGCTGAAAGGTAGGTATGGTATGTGAATACTTAGTCCAAAAATTTTCTTCCTGTGATCTGGGAAATGCTAAAATGTTTTGTTATTATTGAAGCAAATCTTGAGAGACTTCAAAATAATTGACCTTTTAAATGTAAATGTCAAAAAACCCACAATATTAATGCTTGGACAGGGAAAACATGCAAATGTTATTGGCACAGCATATATGCTATGGTGTCTATAGACCAGTGATGGCGAACCTTTTAGACACCGAGTGCCCCAAAACCGCCCCCCAGCTCCACCCACGCACAGGGCCACCTACTGCCTCCATGGCCCACTGCAGATTGCCCAGACGGCCATGCAGTGCCATGGTGGCCACACCTTCCGCCAGCATTCCCGCAACATTATCTGTGCACGATGGGGTGCAAGGACGGAATCTTGTCCCTGCTGCTCGGCTGCCATGCCCTTGGCTGTGCTGCTCTGCACGGGCCACACTGGAGGCGACTCTCCTCTGGGGGGGCTGCCTGTGAGAAGGGGGCCGCAGGGGGAGGCGGGGCTGGGGCGATGATGTGCGTGCCCACAGAGAGGGCTCTGAGTGCCACCTCTGGCATGCGTGCCATAGGTTCGCCACCACTGCTATAGACTGTACATTACAATTCCTTGATTATGTGGTTTCCTTCAAAAACTTTTGCTAGAATGTAGTGTTCTGTGTCTTGACTTTGATTTATTTAATACCTTTATGTGCATTTTGAGATATAGCTTAGTCAAAACTAGCCCACTTTATTTAATGTTCATTACCTGCAGATTATCTCCATTTTCTCAGTGTGATTTTAAGTATTCCTGAAAAATTAATTCACAGAAAGGGCAAATGCATGTAAAATGCCTCCTAAAGAGGAATGCATGTTAAAATCATATCTTTACTTTTAATAAGCATACTAGCAGTTCAATAGATGTAATAGCATTTGTTCTAAATCCCCCACTGAGATTCGTTCAGTTTCTAGTGAACTCTTATATCACAAATAATCACTGGTTTCTTTACTAAAAAGTCCCAGCAGGATAAACTTTAAGAAAGAGAAAATTTAGATCTATCTATAGCAGCAGTTCTCAACCTGTGGGTCGCGACCCCTTTGGGGTCGAATGACTTTTTCACAGAGGTCGCCTAAGACCATTGGAAAACACATATTTCCAATGGTCTTAGGAACCTGTCTCGCTTTCAACTCCCCTAAAATTTTTCATTCAGGCAGGCTTCCAGAGTTTGGCCAGCAGGATGCTGGTAACCCCTCCCCCCTGTCCTGCTGCCTTCCATGGCACCATGCCGCTCTGCGTCCCATGCCTCAAGCTTCCGTGGCACAGAACCGCTTGCGTGGTTCCCAATGGCCGCTGATGCGCTCCCCGCCGCCGGGACCATGCAAGCCCTGGCAATTGTTCCAGCCAAAGAAGCTGGTGGCTGGGAGGCCACTGCGGCGCCGATCTTTTGCGCCCGTCAGCTGGCAACCCCCTGAATGTGCGCTTGTTAGCTGGGAGGTCTGGTGATGGAGCTCGCCAGTGTGGAGGGTGATGGGGAGGTGGCGGCTTGGCAGACGGGTTCCCGCCTGCCTGTGAATGTCGGGCCCACGGCACTTGACACAGAGTCGACGGTCCAATATAACTTCCCTCCTCGGATGAGAAAGATGGAATCTCTCCCGTCCATGTCCCTTCCCCCCAAGTACAAGAGAAAGTTGCAGACAACTAAGTCAGCCCGTGCAGGAAGCCCTAGAATGGCTAGTCCAGGGTGCCTGGTTGCAGTGCTGAATGTCTTTTGCTCCTCCTAGAAGCCGGTGGCAAGAGAAAGAAGTCGTTCAAACTTCAAGCTAGCTACTGGATGCCTATTTGCACTTTTTTTTCTTTTCTTTTTTTTTGAGTACTTGTCTGCCCCACCCCATCTTCCACCCAAGCATAACTTTTAAGGATTTTAAGGACCTTTGAGAGGAAGAGAGAAATAGAGAGAGGGAGAGAAAGAGGGAAAGAGAAATAGAGAGGGGGAGAGAGAGAAAGAGAGAGTGACAGGGAGAGAGAGAAAGAGAAAGAGGGAGAAAGGGAGAGAGAAAGAAAGGGGGACAGGGAGAGAGAGAGGGAGAGAGAGAAATAGAGGGAGAGAGAGAGGGAGAGAGGGAGAGAAAAGGGGAGAAAGAGTGAGAGAGAAAGAGGGAGAGAGAGAAAGAGGGAGAGAAAGGGAGAGGGAGGGAGAGAGGGAGAGAGAGAAAGAGAGAGAGGAAGAGAGAAATAGGGGGAAGAGAGAGAGAGAGAGGAAGAAAGAGATTAAATTAGTAACATGGTTGTTAAGTGAATCTGGTTTCCCCCATTAACGTTGCTTGTCAGAAGATTGCAAAAGGCGATCTCATGACCCTGGAACAATGTGACCATCATAAATATGAATCAGTTGCCAAGCATCAAAATGTAAATCACATGACCCTGGGGATGCTGCAACGGTCATAAGTGTGAAAAATGGTCATAAGTCAATTTTTTCAGTGCCATTGTAATTTTGAACAGTCACTAAGCAAACTGTTGTAAGTCAAGGACTACCTGTACTTTATCATTTTTTTCCAATTTTTTGGGTCAAGTTTTTGACACCTCGCTAGGTGACTGGTGGTACTCGAATGTTGCCATATTCTAAAAGTGGTACAATCGGTGAAAAGGTTGAAAAGCCTTGCACTAATGGACCAATTATTTCCTTCACTTTTTTCTTGTTTTTTACAGGTTGAAAGAAGCTTTTTTTTTTTGTTATTTTTGACTTTGGTCACAAGCCTTAGTTCATATTGAGCCTTAGCTTTCCTCACTTCATTTTTGCAGGCTCGGGCTATTTGCTGATATTCTGATTTAGTATACGGATTTGTATACTTCTCATTCATGCCATTTTCGTTGTGCTCTTGGAAAAACTGTCCCGAGAATTTCTGATCTGGTGAGAAAGAAGCAATCTCAACCTTCGCACTGACGTTGGATTTTTACACATACTGTCGCAAAATGTAGCAATGTAGTTTACTGTTGTTATATTACGACTGTTACCCATGCTACACCATGCTTCAAGACAAGATTTCATTTATTTGTAATTAGAAATAAATATTTCACAATATATAATTACATATAATGCTTTAATTATGTTCAATTAGTAACAATGAAAGTACATCCTGCATATCAGATATTTACATTACAATTCATAACAGTAGCAAAATTACAGTTATGAAGTAGCAACGAAAATAATTTTATGGTTGGGGGGTCACTACAACATGAGGAACTGTATTAAAGGGTCGTGGCATTAGGAAGTTTGAGAACCACTGAACTACAGCTTATGCAAGAATAGCAGGACAACTATCTTGTGTCTGTTATCTCTCCTTTATAATGTAAATAGTTTCTACATGCTTAATTCCAAAACCATATCACTAGCTTGCATATTTGTTTTTTATTATTTCTATCAAGGTTTGATATTCATGTAGGAAGTTAGGTAGATAGGTAGATAAGTAAAAAGGAAGGAAGATACTATAAAATATCATTGAAAGTTAAAAATCATGTTTAATCTAGCTCACTGAGTGCATAGCTGAAGAAAAAGAACTTGATTACCTTTTGAAAGTACTGAGAGCAGATCCTGAGGGAATTCATTCCATAGCTTAGAATCAACATATTTTTATTTTTAATTTTTTAAAATATGCCACAGTTTTACTCAGTGTATTATCTGTGAGAAGCCTAATGTTTCATGGCTGGTATTGTTACTGGAAACAACATGATATCTCTTTCACTGTTTATTGTAGAGAAATCTTATTCTCTGGCTCTCATCTCAGTTTTGGCTGATATGCCATATTTTTTTTTTCCATCAAGAATTGTCAATACCAACTTTAG